CTTCTTCGGTAGTTGTTCAAACAAGTCTACCACTGCAGCTTCAATATATCCCAATACTTTTGGGAAGATGACCATACCATATATACCCAGAGCAAATAAATCGAATCGTACTTTAATATCTGGATGGCTCTGAATAAGTTCTCTGATGTTGGTCCAAGCAATGCCTTCGCTTTCGCCTTTTTGTTTTGTACGGGATGCTACCCATTCTTCTCGTACCCCGGCAATCTTTGCTAATTTAACTCGAAAGGGTTGAGTTTTAATTGACTTTGAATATATTCGATTCTCCAAAGCACCTTCAAGATGTAACAAAGTTGTATATTCTTCAATAGTAGGGATCAAGTCCTCCTTATTGAAAGTGAAGCAATTGTACCCTGGATTCCAGAATTGAACTAGGGCTCTGAGTAATTCATCATCGACTTCAACATAGAGCAAATATGGGATGTCTCCGTAAGTCTGATAAAACTGCAATTTTTTGTTTGAATCCCAACTTTCCCAAATGCTTCGCAAATCTTGCATATCATTTCTTTTTAGTGAAACTGAAGCATAACTGGCCAAGTCAGATACATAATCATCCTGCAAACTGTCTCCTTCTTGTCTTTGTAAATCCTCAGCCCACTGTCTTACTTCTGAGTTTAGAATTACTTGACTTGAACACTTTTTATCCATAGATGAAGGCTTTCCAATGAGACAATTAACACAAGGATCAATGTCTTTTATCCTGTATGATGCAATGCAAATAGAAAAATAAATAACACACAAAAAAGAAAATAAATTAGTTTACATAATAAAGGAATTTAATAATAACATAAATATTCTTTATTTAAACATGCTCTTCTGAATTTAAATAATTTAAATAAACATGTAATTTAAACACTAAATAAATTAACAGGAAAGACAGAATTCATTTCTCCTGTGTGTACACCTATTTTGGACAAAATTTTGTCATGACTTCGGATCGGAAGAGTTTCTAAGGTTTTTTTATATGCAGGGTTTCAGATCTAGGAGTAAAGGTACCCGAATTGTCCTTGTTAGTGCCCCCTTGGGTTGCTAACCCTCAATCCTAGTCCATTACAGACTAAAGTGGATCGAGTTCAATTCGAGGGGATACATTTCTCTATGCCTGACACGGAGAATAAATTCTCACGAAGACATAGAGCATATGAACCCCGAAAGTTACTTGCTAGGTCTGACACGGAGAATAAATTCTCACGAAGACGTCGCTTTCACTCCCACTTAAAAGGGACAACTCAATTATAGAGCTTTATGTTATGCAATGCAAGTGTTGTGTGTGAGGAGAAATGTTCATACCTCTGACAAAATAACTAATAAAATAAAATACTTGCAAATAAAACATATAAATATTATAAAAATAATAAATACATAAAAAATTTGAAAAGAAAGAATTAAAAATTAAATATATGAATTTTTAATTTTTAGTTAATAGAGACAATTTATAATTAAATTTTTAAAAGTTTGACCAGTCCCCAGCGGAGTCGCCAAGCTGTCGTAACCGGTTTTCGTCCGGGCACGAAATATTAAATTTTGGCGAGAAAATTGATGTGAATAAATGGTTTTGAAAATAATTTGGGAGTCGCCATCGACCTTTTGGATCAGGTAGTTCGAATACCTAAAAATAATCTTTTAAAAGAGTTTTTAAGAAAACCATATTTAAAAGATGAACTGATCTGCGTTTTATAACCAAAAATTCGTTCTTTTTAATAATAAAAAGGGATTCGTGGTCGGTTACGTTTAGGGAAGGATTAGCACCCCTACAACGCCCAAAATTGGTACTTTTTAATTATAAATTGTCTCTTTTATTAAAATTTAAAAATTCAAAAATATATTTAATTTATAATCCTATTATTTTAAAATTATATAAAAAATATTTATTTATTTTTAATATCTGAAAAGAACTTCTAGGTGCCTTAAGACAGCTCTTTTCTTTGATATTGATAAATATTGATTTAAATAATATTGTTTACTTTTTAATTTTAAAATATCAGAATAAGACATCCAGTTGTATTAAGACTGTCCTTTTCTTCGATAATAAATATTTAAAAAAACTATTCATTATATGTATATTTATGAATATATAAAAATATTTAACAATATAATAAAAATATCACTAAAACAATATATTTTAAGCATTAAAATGAAAACATATAAAATAAATAACTAAATTATAATAAAAATAAAACTAAATCTAATTCCTAAATAATAATTAATTGAAATTATAGGGTTTAAATATTTTATTTTCTAATTTAATAATTTAGTGACCAAAATGAAATTATTTAAAATTTAAATTTTATAATAGAATAAATTAAAAATATGAACTAGGGATAAAAAAAAATTATTTATTAAAATTAAGGGATTAAATCTATCATTTATCCTAAATATATTATTTTAATAAAAAGGACTAAAATGAATAAAATTAAAATTCAAAGACTGAATTAAAATTATTATAAATTCAGTTTAGTGACCAAAATGTAAAATTTAAAAATACGAAGGACTGCGGAAGGGATTTAACTTTTCCATAATTACGCGCATAGTCCTTCCCGAAACGACGTCGTTCGGGAAGGACTATAAATGGTCCATACCGGCTGGCCCGAAGGGCCAGCCATTTCATTTCTTTTCTTCCCTCTCTCTCTCTTCTCTGAGAGAGAGAAATTTCTCTCGCTTCTCTCTAACACAGAGAGAAGCCCAGCCGGCCGGCAGCCGTTAGCCGGCGTTCATCCGCCGTCAACCACCGTCGCCGGCCACCGTCTTCGGTGGCCGGAAAAATTTTTCTTTTATCTAAACGTAGATCGGACCGTCCTAATGACGGTTCCGATGTTTTTTTTTTCGTTAAACGGCTCCTAATCGGAGCAAATATTTAAAAATACCTTCGGTTTTCGAAGGTTTGCTGTGGAGCGTGGAGGCGCGTGGTTACTCCGGTGGTGGTGTGGCTTTTCCTCGGTAAGTCTCTTCTTCCTTTTTCTCTTTTTTCTTCTGGTTCTTTGCTGCTGAGATCTTTGGTACTAGTTTGTTTTTTTTCTGTATTTTTTTCGTTTTCTGTTTCTGTTTCTTCTTTCTGTCTCTCTGTCCCTTTTTTTTTTTCACAGGTGGGGTGGTGGCTTTTATAGCCACCACCGGTGTTCGTCTCGGACCGGTCCGAAGAGGGGGCCTCGGTGAGTCACCGGACTACCAGTGGTGACTCACCCCGTAGCCTTGCATGGACGGCTGGTATATGATCTTCTGGAGTCTTTGGTTGGGACGTGGCAGCGGCGGAGGCGGCGAGGGCTGTCGGCAGCCGCGTGGAAGCTGGAGCGGCGCCGCGTGGCCCTAGGGTATCAAACCCTAGGGTTTCCTTCTGGCATCATCTGGACCGTTGGATCTTATCAGATCCAACGGCTGTGAGCTGAGGCGGCTGATCAAATTAGGGTTAGGAAACCCTAACTGGAAACCCAAATATTTAGGATTTCTGGTTGGATTTAGACCGGTTTTAGTTGGTTTGTAACTGGGCCGGTTTAATTGTAATTGGTTTGTAATTTATATGTATTTAATATATTTAATAATAATAGTAAAAATAATAATAATAATAAAAATAATAAAAATAATAATAATAATAATATTAATAATGATAATAATAATATTAATAATAATAATAATAATAATAATATGGATAAAAAATAGTATCTTCATCTACCTCTTAAAAATCCTTATAAAAGAGAGGTCTTAGCTTCATGAACACCATAAATTTGCAGACACCACTCCTCACACTCAAGGAAAAAACATGGAAGCTCACCTTGTAATAACAAGAGATTTGCTTTGTTTTATCGTTGTTGGGTTACTGATGGTATGGGGATGGAGAGTTTTGAAGTGGGCATGGCTCACCCCCTAAAGAGGCTCGAACGGTGCCTGAGATAACAGGGTCTCAGAGGCAAGCCTTACAGTTCTTTGTCTGGGGACATCAAACAGATGTTTGCTATGAGCAGACAAACAAAGATCCAAAACTATGGCTCTCAGTGATGATATTAAGCCTTATGTTACTCCTTTTCTTCATCAATTTCTCCAGAAATATGGTGCGTTTTAGATTAATCTGCAATTTCATGGTATTAGAAACTTTTTTATATATTAAAAATATGAATTTGTTTCAAGTAAATGCAGGAAAGGATTCGTTTATGTGGATTGGTCCATGGCCAAAGGTGATAATTATGGACCCTGAAAAAAATAAAGGAAATATTCACCAAATTCACTTCCAGAAGGTGCATACCAATCCAGTGGTGAATTTGCTTGTGAGTGGCCTTGCAAATCTCCAGGGAGACCATTGGAGTAAGCATAGAAAGATAATAAATCCTGCCTTTCATCAAGATAAGTTGAAGTTATGTTTAGAAAAAAGAGAAGAATCTAGATAAGGTCATGATATATAGTTCTAGACATCTTTTATTATTTCTGATTTGAAGATAATTGCACAACATGTCGCCAGCATTTTATCGAAGTTTTAGCGAGATGATAAGAAAATGGGAGAAGATTGTGTCTACAGAAGGTTGCAATGAGATTGATGCGTGGCCTTATCTCGTAAATATGACAAGAGACGCCATTTCCCGAGCTGCATTCAGAAGCAGCTTCGAAGAAGGCAGACGAATTTTCGAACTGATGGATGACCAAATCAATATCTTTCTCAAAATCATAGTCTGTATTGAAGTAAATGTTCTAGAATGAATCTAGAATGCTGCTGAAGTAATCTGTTGTGTGTAGAATGTAGTGCAGTTAGTTTGTTGTATTCTGTTACACCTTTGTATTCTGTTACACCAGATTACCAGCTTAGGTAATTGGTTGTTGTATGTATATAAACCATGCACTCGTTAATAAAGAATCAAGAAGCTTTCTTCAAAGATTTCAGTATTCTTTATACATTCTAATAGTCTGTTTACATCTCAGGATGGAGGTAAAAAATTTCGAATTCTAAGAAAAGGGTTATAGATGTTAGGATTCGAATCTGTAACTATTTCTTTTTTGCATGCAAAGGTTTTTGCCAACCAAGACAAACAGGGAGATGAAGTTGGAATACAATGATATAAAAGAGTCGCTTACGGAAATGGTAAAGAGAAGGGAGAAGGCAATTAGAGCAGGTGAAAAGAGTAATGACGACCTGTTGGACATACTTGTGGCATCACAGGAAGAACATGAGGATGAGCATCGATGATGTGATCGAGGAGTGCAAGCTGTTTTACTTCGCCGGCCAAGAGACCACCACTACTTTACTGGTTTGGACTATGATTTTGTTGGCAAGGTATCCCGATTACCTCGTCCCTTCCATCCATCCGTGGATGCTGATGCTTTTAGCATGCCATTCTTGCGACAATTGCACTCCTTGTTAGTCTGATAACGAAATAATGGTGGAGCAAAGTTTTTTTTTTTTTTTTTGTGACTGAGATATGTATAGGTTTCAGAAGAGAAAAGATCTCAACTAAGAGATTTTAACCACTTATTTTAGAAGAATGTTCTTTCTCTTTTAATAACATAATAACAAAACAGACTATTACGACAACTAACAACGCAATTAATCAATTACAATAATATGACAATTAAAATTAAAGTTAACTAAGTAATCGATCATTAATTATTAATAAAAATATTGACGTAACATTTAAATGAAATTATATAACAATATATGTAATTATTGTTATTAATATAATTTATTAATTTAATTTTAATCAAAAATAATTTAATAGTTTACCTATTATTAATATTTAATCATAATAAATAAAAACTCGTTGTAACTTTGGTGACTAAATAGAAGGATATTATCTTTAGAGATCATGAATTCGGACAGTTACATTTAGGGTGTTTGCATCTTCAATAATTAAAAAGACGTGGACATATATCCTTTTATAAGGTAAAGTATACAAATAGTCCTCGATAAGGCGTTGTTTTATGGATCACATATTATTTTATTGAATGACTTAACAAAACAATATATTATAATCGAGAAATATTTTTATAATTTTTAATGATCAAAAGGTTCAATAAAAAATATCCTATGATCTAGGGACCGTTTATGTATTTTACCCTACTTTATAGTTACCATACTATTAAGAAATCTTATCAATAATTATACGGCCACAAAGACACGTGCTTTTGACACCACATCCATAATCATCTAAATTTCATTTTTCCTAATAAAAACTGAAAGCCATTAATATTCAATCATCATCTTACCATTAACAGAAAAAAAATCATCATCTTACCAAAATCTCTCCCCTAAAAAGAAGCTTATAAAAGAGACAAAGGTGAGTAAACCAGACCTGAGAAGAATTCTAGCTTTCCATAAGCACCTTAAATTTGCAGACACCCTTTCTCATACTCAAACAGAGAGAAACAAAACATGGAAGCTCACCTTGTAATAACAAGAGATTTGCTTTGTTTTCTTGTTGTTGGGTTATTGATGATATGGGGTTGGAGCGTTTTGAAGTGGGCATGGCTTACCCCAAAGAGGCTCGAACGGTGCTTGAGACAACAGGGTCTCAGAGGAACCCCTTACAGTTCTCTGTCTGGAGACTTCAAACAGTTGATTGCTATGAGAAGACAAACAAGGACCAACCCTATGGCTCTTAGTGATGATATTGAGCCTTATGTTACTCCTTTTCTTCATCAAGTTCTCCAGAAATATGGTACATTTTTCATTGATCTGCAATTTCATGGTACCAGAAACTTGTTTATTTATTGTAAGTCTGGATTTGTTGTGAGGAAATGCAGGAAAGGATTCGTTTATGTGGATTGGTCCATGGCCAAGGGTGACAATTATGGACCCTGAGAAAGTAAAGGAAATACTTACCAAATTCACTGATTTCCAGAAGGTGCATACCAATCCACTGGTGAATTTGCTCGTGAGTGGCCTTGCAAATCTCGAGGGAGACCATTGGAGTAAGCACAGAAAGATAATTAACCCTGCCTTTCACCAAGATAGGTTGAAGGTATGTTTTTGTTGGGAATACTGAATCTAGAATTCTAGGTAGCACCTTGATAGATCTACAAGACTATGCCTTTTCTGATGTGGAAATAATTGCAGAACATGTTGCCGGCGTTTAATCAAAGTTGTAGTGAGATGATAAGCAAATGGGAGAAGATTGTGTCTACACAAGGTTGCAGTGAGATAGATGCGTGGCCTTATCTCGTGACTATGACAAGAGATGTGATCTCCCGAGCTGCATTCAAAAGCAGCTTCGAAGAAGGCAGGCGAATTTTCGAACTGATGGATGACCAAATCAATCTCATAACCAAAGTCTTACAGTATGCTTACATTCCAGGGTGGAGGTAAAAAGTTTCGAGTTTCAAGGAAAGGGATACAAATGTCGGAATTCGAATCTCTTGCTGAATTGCATTTGTTTCTGTAGGTTCTTGCCGACTAAGACAAACAGGGAGATGAAGATGAAATACAACGACATAAAAGAGTCGCTTAGGGAAATGATAAACAGAAGAGAGAAGGCAATTAAAGCAGGTGAAGAGAGTAATGAAGACTTGTTAGACATACTTGTGGAATCAAACATCAGAGAAATCGACGCACATGCAGATAAGAAGAGCATGGGGATGAGCATCGATGATGTGATCGAGGAGTGCAAACTGTTTTACTTCGCTGGCCAAGAGACCACCTCGGTTTTACTGGTTTGGACTATGATTTTGTTGGCAAGGTATCCCGATTGGCAGGCTAAAGCGAGGGAAGAGGTTTTGCATGTGTTTGGTGAGAATAAACCGGACGCTGATGGCCTTAATCGGCTCAAAGTTGTAAGTTCCTTGTCCTAAATTCACTTATTGTTATTGCTTCATGTGTATAAATAAGGTTAATTACACTAAATTATGGTTGCAGGTAACAATGATATTGTATGAGGTTCTAAGGCTATACCCGGCAGTGCTTGTGCTATCACGCTCCGTTACAAAAGACGTAAAACTTGGAAAACTGTTGTTACCAGCCGGAACCGAAGTTGCGATCCCGATACTGCAGATCCACCACGACAAAGAGCTCTGGGGCGACGACGCAAATGAATTCAAACCCGAGAGGTTTGCAGAAGGGGTTGCGAAAGCAACAAAGAGTCAAGTGACGTTTCTCCCTTTCGGATGGGGTCCTAGGATCTGCATTGGCCAAAACTTTGCTCTGATGGAAGCGAAAATGGCGCTGGCGATGATTCTCAAACGCTTCTGGTTCGAGCTTTCCCCTTCTTACGCTCACTCTCCTTACAGCTTGGGAACTCTTCGTCCACAGCATGGAGCACGAATAATTTTACACAAGCTTGAGTCTGATTGAACTGTTATGTGAACAAATCTTAGTAATCAACTAGTCATACACTCATAAATTATATTGTTGAAGTAATCTTAAAGTAGCTTATATGTGAGAGTTCTACAGAGTTCAAACACTACCTTAATTGTCTGCTACGAGTCCCATGAAGATTTGGCTAGCTTATCCAAGTTTTCATGTTAATATATTTTTCTGCCCTCTATAAATTGGAATATTTTGCGATATACATGATGTGAGTTAGCTAACGAGTTCTTGATGATGAAACGTTTTCATATCATAATCATCGTCTCAAATACGTAAATGCCATTTGTCCACCGGGTGTGTCATTATAAATATAATGGTACATGTATGTATAACAATCCAAGACGAAAAAAAAAAAAAAAATCAAATATTTTATAGATTCACAATTTACTTCTATGGTGATTCATACAAGTCGCGACAAAAGATATTCAATTCCTCGGCAGGATCTCGTCGTAAAATTTGTGTATATGAATCAAAAATAAAACAAACACAATTAATAATAGGGAAAATATTCGATTAAATAATCTGAATAGAAAATCATAAATATATGAATAGTAATAAGTTGAGGCCTACAATTACACAATTTACTTAAGATAGATTTTCGACCACTCCTTGATAAGATCTTTGGTCGTCTGTCTCCCATGATACAACAACGAGATGGTCAGTGCACAGTAGCACAACTGTCGAGATCACGAACTATTCCTTGTCTTCGCCTATCACCAAAAATTAGATAAACGAATTCATTTGAATTGGTTTTTTGTTGTTTTTAAATTTTTGTTTAACCTAGTAGGTTAACACGGTATTTATAAAGAGTTCACATAGTAAACAATTGGAAATTTTAATGAAGCATTAATGAGAATCAAACAATTAATTAATTTCTAAAATTACTATTTTGATTAAAGAAACCTTTTAATTCCAAAACAGATTTTGAAAAGAAATTATTTATCTTACATTTAGGTTAAAATATCCGCAAACCCACAAAGAGTTAGACCGATTCGGACATTCACATTACCTGCATCGTGCACGTCTGCACATTTACGAACCAACAATTGGTTCCACATTTTCCTCAACAATGTTTGGATCAATTTCTCATTCAAAGCTCTAAAATTATCAATTTTTTTGCAACAATCTCCCACATAAATGAAATTGATCATTTATCAAAATCATTTTGACTCAATGTGGTTATTGACTCTAAGATCGATAGTATGATAGGATAGGTGTCCTCCTTTGAACATTCCCTTTGACAACATATTTACTTTATTAGCTGACTAGTAGACGTGAGTCCTTGAACTATTATGTCGTTTGTGTAAACAATGTATTTACTAATAATTGAGTATTTAACACAAATCAAGCGATTTTGGTAGAAAAATAATTGTTTTTATTTATTTATTGAGATCCTGGATTTGAGCATCAAGAATGCTGGGGTATAAAAGTTCGATGTTAATTGATGGAGAGTTGTCTATAAACAGATTTTGACTTGTAGTTATCCCATATGAATCAAAAAATAATAATTTGGAACCAACGAGAGTTAATTCAAGTAGTAAGCAGCTTGATATCGCTTAAGCAATATCTCATGTTTAAGTCCTTGTGTATGCATAAAATATTTGCTGTGAGACTCATTCACCAAAACCAGGTGTGTGGTCGGTTCAGATTAATCGAAACGATGCCTTAGAACTAGATGACAACAAATAATAATAATAATTATAATAATTGGGTATTCAAATATTATTTCTGTCGTCAAAATCATACGTAGTCCGAGTGTCATTCAGGTCAAACTATCAAACTAAACACATACTCCCGACATAGTCATATAAAGATAATTGATAGTTAAAATATTGATACATATATTGTAATATTCGTTACTTTTTTTTATTTATATCATACTTATAATATGATATTTGTGGAAATATTTGATATTTTGCAGCATTTTGATTTTCGATATTCTTTTTTAATTTGAAAGTATCATTATTTGTGAAAAGTATAGATATTTTGTAGCCTTCTCATTTAAACAAAAATATGAAAAATGAAAAGGCTAGAAATGAGAAGGCTGAAAATTGTCGATACTTTTTTCACAAATATCGATACTTTTTTATTTAAAAATATATATATGTGAAAAATGAGAATGCTGTAAAGTATCGAACTTTTCTTCAAATATCAGAGCATAAGTATCTATATAAATGAAAAGGTATCAAATATCATAATATATGTATCGATATTTTAACTAACAATTATCTTCATCAATTTGTTCAATATATAAAAGTATCGATCATCATCGCATATCGGTATTTTAAATTTTGATCTTTTTATCCTTTTTCAATATTTAAAAATATCGATCATTACCGTATAAATATCAAATATCATAATATATGTATCGATATTTTAACTTTCGATCTTAAATTCAACAAAACCAGTACTCTATGAGATCTTATAATATTGTCGAAATCTCTACCCTAAAGAAGAAGGTTATATGAGTGTGTACGCGCGCGAGTCAACCAGATCTTTCTGAGCTTTTAGCTTTCCGTTAACACCTTATATTTGCAGCTACCATTTCTCATACTCAACAAATAAACATGGAAGCTCACACTTTAACAATCAGATATTTGCTTTGTTTTCTTCTTGTTGGGATATTGATGATATGGGGATGGTGGGTTTTGAAGTGGGCATGGCTGACCCCAAAGAGGCTCGAACGGTGCCTGAGACAACAGGGTCTCAGAGGCAGGTCAATGTCCGGAGACTTTAAACAGATGTTTGCTATGAGCAGACAAACCAGAGCCAGGCCTATGGCTCTTAGTGATTATATTGAGCCCTATGTTACTCCTTTTCTTTATCAATTTCTCAAAAAATGTGGTACGTTTTACATTGATCCGCAATTTCATGGTACCAGGAACTTGTTTATTCATTAAAAGTCTGGATTTGTTGTGAGGAAATGCGGGAAGGGATTCGTTTATGTGGATGGGTCCAAGACCAAGGGTGACAATTACGGACCCTGAAAATTATAAGGGAAATATTCGCCAGATTCGTTGACTTTGAGAAGATGCATAACAATCCACTGGTGAGTTCGATTGTGAGTGGTATTTCAAGCCTCGAGGGAGATCACTGGATTAAACATAGAAATATTATAAACCCTCATTTCATCAAGATAAGTTGAAGGTATGTTTTCTTTTTGTTGGGAGTCCTGAATCTAGACAGCACCTTGATAGTTCTACAAAACTAGGCCTTTTTGTTGGAAATAATTGCAGAACATGTTGCCGGCGTTTTATCAAAGTTGTAGTGGGATGAAAAACAAATGGGAGAAGATTATGTCTACAGAAGGTTGCAGTGAGATAGATGCGTGGCCTTATCTCGTAAATATGACGAGAGACGTAATTTCCCGAGCTGCATTCGGGAGCAGCTTCGAGGAAGGCAGCCGAATTTTAAACTATTGGACGACCAAATCAATATCGGCAATCAAAGTACTACAGTCTGCCTACATCCCAGGATGGAGGTAAAGAAAATTCGAGTTTTAAGGTAAGCTTTACGAATTTTGGAATGCAAATCTCAGACTAAATTTTGTCGTCTTTGCAAAGGTTTTTGCCGACGAAGACAAACAGGGAGTTGAAGTCGACATACGATGATATAAAGGAGTCCCTTGTTAAAATGATAAAGGAAGAATGCAATTAGAGCAGGTGAAGAGTGTAATGAAGACTTGTTGGACATACTTGTGGAAGCCAACATCATAGAAATCGAAGCACATGCAGATAGGAAGAACATGGGGATGAGCATCGATGATGTGGTCGAGGAATGCAAACTGTTTTACTCCGCCGGCCAAGAGACCACCTCGACTTTACTGATTTGGACTATGATTCTGTTGGCAAGGTATCCCGATTGGCAGAGTAAAGCAGGGGGGAGGTTTTGCAAGTTTTTGGTGACAATAAACCAGATGCTGACGGCCTTAATCGTCTCAAAGTTGTAAGTCCATTGTCCTAAATTCCGTCATTGTTTTTGCTTCATGTATATAAACACGGCTGATTAATAACTAGCCTAAACATCCTTGTAGGTAACAATGATATTGTACGAGGTTCTAAGGCTATACCCACCAAATCCCGCACCGTTCCGAAAGAACTAAAACTGGGAAACCCGCTGTTACCAGACGGAACCGAAGTTTTGGTTCCGATACTGCAGATCCACCGTGACGGAGAACTGTGTAGGGAGACGACGGACATGAATTGTTACGCAAGCTTGGGTCTCGTTAAATTGTTATGCGAACAAATCCTTGTAGTTTAAAAACACAGTATTTGTATCCTCAATCAATCTTCAAATAATCAAATTCATTTATCACATTCAGATCACACATAAGTACACATTTAGATAAAACTGGAATCAAGTTCAAAATTACATAGGTGCCCGTATTAAATCATCGAAGAATAAAACGTTTGGAATATGGGGAAGATGATTGTTGAAAGAATCAATGGTGGATATGAAGCGCAACTGCCCACCTTCCCCAAATCAATTTTGCAGGAAATTCTTTCGAACAGAATGCGCCGGAAATTTTGCACATCGCCGATACACACTATCCCTGCTCTGATTATAATAATCAAAGGATTCTAAAAAATTTAGGGCATATTCCCTGAACAGGAGAACCAGAAAAGAAAACATGAAAATCCTTGAGGCTGCCCCATAAAAAAACCTTAATCTTGGCCGGGTGAAATTGAATTCTCACATTTATTTTCTAACAAGCAAGAACTCATTTGGATCGGCCGATTATTTTAGAATCAAAAGAAGAAGAAAAAAGTAATGTATAATTACCATTCTGCGAGACTTGCAAGAATTGGCAAATTGCTTGCAAAAACTGAGCAATTACTTTAGGGTTTGATATCTGCCGGCAACGGAACAAGAGCGGCACTGCTTATGTTAAACTTCCGCTCTGTTCTCTCAAAGGCAATTTGAAAACCCTAGACCTCCTTCTTTGTTATTTATAACCAGATTATTTAGCGCATTTCCCTTTTTGCCCCTTGACTGCCGTTGAACTTTTTTGATACGTTTTAA